TCTCTGGTCAAATTTAAATAAATAAATAAAGTTAAATAAAGTAATTCTTTAAAAAAAATAATTCTATTAAAAAGCTCTGGGACCAGCAATTAGTGTAATGGCTATGTCGCTGGACTCCCACGTAGTCAACCACGGTTCGCGTCCCGGCCCCGGTGGCTTAAACTCCCACCAGGCAGGTATGTGTGCGTGCCCAAGATCCCGAGAGGAGAATGGAGGAGAAGGGATTGTGGTGTGGCCATCCCCCCAGGAGGGTGATTTCTCGCTTTCTATCTCTCTGTCTGGCGAGCACACGCGCCCTGTAGCAAAAACTTCTAAAAAAAAAATAAAAAAGCTCCAACAACTCAACACTGAAGAAAATAATTCAATTAAAAAATGGGCAAAGGACTTGAATAGTTGTCTAAGGAAGAAAGAAGAGGAAGCCAATAGACATATGAAAAGATACTCAACTAATCACCAGAGAAATGTGACCAAAAGCATAACAAGATTACCACTTCCTGCTCAGTAGGACAATAATAAAAAACAGAGGGGCGTGCCCCATGACCTACTGGTTAAAAGAGCTGATCTCACATGGCCAATCTCACAGCCTCCGAGACCCAACAACTTGAAATGCCAGGTGCTTTTACATACGTGCCCCCAAACCCAACAAGAAGGAGAAATAGAGAAGGGATTATGGTGTGATCATGCCCCTATTGGGGGATTCTCTCTCCTCCCTCCCACCACCTTCCTTGGCAAGTGCATACACCCTCTGAACAAAAAAAGAAGAAAAAAGATAAATGTCTGCAAAAATGTGGAGAAACTGGAACCCTTGTGTGTTGCTGTAAAATGGCAAAGCTGCCATGGAAATGTTTAGCGGTTCCTCAGTTAAACATAGTACTACCATATGAGCTGAAATTTTGCTCTAGGCATAAATCCAGAAGAACTGAAAGCAACTTTTGAAACAAATATATTGTATACCAATGTTCATAACAATATTATTCGTAATAGCAAAAAAGTGGGGGAAAAAAGTGTCAATTAGCAAATGAATGGATAAATAAAATGTGATATATACAAGCACAGTAAATATTATTCAGCCCTAAAAAGGAATGAACTGGACCAGTCCCATAGCACAGCAGTTATGTGCTATGTAGAAAGAATTGGAACCCACATGACTGACCACGAATTCTAACCCCCCGAGGATTGAAACATACACAGGCATGTGTGTGTGCATGCCGAAAATCCTGACAAGATGGAGAAATGAAGGAAAAAGGATTATGTCATTACCATCCCTACTGGGGAATGGGGTGGGGGAGTGCCTGCCAGTCTCTCTTTGTCCCACTATCTCTCTCCCTGGTGAACACACATGCCCTCTGGCAATAAACAATAAAAATTAAGAAATAGGCTTGTTTTTTAGGTTTTTGTCATAGAGTTGCAGGCACTCGCTAGAGAGAGACAGAAAGAAAATGAGAAATCACACCCCAGGGCAATGGCCATGCTACAATCCCTTCTCCTTCATTCTTCTCCATGGATTTTTGAGCACATATGCCCAGCATGATTTTCAAACTGACTTGTGATTGGCCATGTGGGAATCCAGTACCCTAACGTCCACACCAACCTGACAGCTCCAAGAAGGGTTTTTTTTAAGGAATGAATGAGTGAGTATATGTATGCATTTATTTATGTATCTATCCATCAGCCAACCTGACAGCTCCAAGAAGGGTTTTTTTTCTTAAGGAATGAATGAGTGAATATATGTATGCATTTATTTATTTATCTATCCATCAATCCATCCATCCTTCCAGAGAGGGACAGAGAGAGAGAGAGGAGAGAGGGAAATTGAGAAAGCAACCTGCCAGGTCCAGGACCTGAACCATGGTTGGCCTCATGGAAGTCCAGAACCTGAACCATGGTTTGTCTCATGGGAGCCTAGTGCCCTTAACCACCACACCACCTGCCGGCCTCAAAGAGTTGTTTTTCAAAGGGTTAGGTAGCTGCATGGCACAGCCGTAATGGGCTGCTCAAGAGAAGACAGATCCCATATGATCACCACGGTTTGAATCTCTGGTCCAGTAAGCCTTGAAACACGCAGGGCACACAGGCAAATGCCCACCTTCTGACAAGCTGGGAGGAAGAGATTGTAGAGTAACTGCACCCTGTAGATGGCACTTCCATCTCTCCCTTTCTCCCTCTCTCTCTACCAAACCCGGGAGATGAAGCACAGATCTCTCTCTCATACACGCATTCTATCACAAATAAAGATGGGACCAACAAATGGTGTAATGGTTACTTTGCTAGACTCCCATATAGACAGCTGTGGTTCAAGACCCGGGCCTGTAGGTTTGAAACTCTTGCCAGTTGTGTGGGTGTGTGTTTGTGTGTGTGCCCAAAATCCCAAGAGGAGAATAGAGAAGGCACTGCAGCATGGCCATCTCCCCTTGGGGATGATTTCTCACCTTTCTCTCTGGTAAATGAACAGACCCAGTAGCAAAAGTCTCTCTAAAAAAACAAAGCAATTGGGACCAGCAGTTAGCGTAATGGCTATGTTGCTGGACTCCCACGTAGTCGACCGCGGTTCGAGTTCTGGACCTGGTGGCTTAAACTCATGCCAGGCGCGTGTGCATGCGTGCCCAAGATCCCAAGAGGAGAAGGGAGGAGAAGGGATTGCGGCGTGGCCATCCCCCCTGGGGGGTGATTTCTCGCTTTCTATCTCTCTGTCTCTGGCTGGCTGGCAAGTGCACGCGCCCTATAGCAAAACCTCTCAAAAAAAAAAAAAAAAAGCAATAAACTTGGTACATGCTACAATGAGTATGAACCTTGAAACATTTTGCATCATGGGACCAGCAGGTGGTATGCTGGATAAAGGAGCTGGATTCCCACATGGCCGACTACTTGCTTTCTCACTTTCTCTCTCAATCTCTCTCTCTCTCTGGTCAAACTGAAAAATAATGACAATAACTAAATACATAATTCTTTTTTAAAAAAAGAAAACATTTTGCTTAATAAGTTAGTTACAAAAGCACAAATATTCTATGATTCCACATATTTGATGATCAGGGATAGAGACAAAAATTAAAATAGGGTGCCAGCAGGTGGCATGGTGGTTAAGGACACTGGACTCCCACATGGCTGACCTCGGTTCAAGTCCCGGACTTGGCAGCTTGCTTTCTCTCTCTCTGTCCCTCTCTGGTCTAACTAGAACGAATGAATAAATGAATAAATTTAAATTTAAAAAAAAAAATTAAAAGAGTTTACCAAGGGGGAATGAGAGGGGAAAGGGAGGTATTATTAAATGGTATGGCGCTTATGTTGGTGACAATGAAGTTTTGAGTATAATGGTGATAGGAACATAGCAGTATTAGTTAACTTAATGTAACTGAATTGTATCACTTAACAAATAGTTAAAATGATATAATGTATGTCACTTTTTTTAAAGAATCATACTTATGTAACTTTATTTTATTTCTTTATTTTAATTTGATCAGAAAGGGACAGAGAGGGACCAGCAGTTAGCGTAATGGCTATGTCACTGGACTCCCACGTAGTCGACCGCGCTTCGCGTCCCGGACCCGGTGGCTTAAACTCACACCGGGCGCATGTGTATGCATGCCCAAGATCCTGAGAGGAGAATGGAGAAGGGATGGCCATCCCCCCTGGTGGTTGATTTCCTGCTTTCTGTCTGTCTGTCTGTCTCTGTCTATCTGGCGAGCACACACGCCCTATAGCAAAAACCTCTCCAAAAAAAAAAAAAAAAAGAAAGG